ATATGTGTGTGTGTGTGTGTGTGTGTGTGTGCGTGTGTGTATGTTAGTGTGTAACAAAGCCTTCAAAAAAAAAAAAAAGTGCAGCTTGTAACAGGCAACAGTTTCTCAGTTCCTGCTCATATAAGAATCTTGTGAGACACTGCATATGTCTGTGTGTTCCTACCTCTGCAGGTGTGTGGGTTCTCTGCCTCCGCTGGTCTCCATGGCAGGTCATTGTGGAAATGTCGACATCGCTCGCAGTTCAGGCCCTCTGTATTATGTTTGCACACACAGCGACCGTGGATCTTGCCGATCACAATGCAACAAAAAGGTTAATAAAGGCACTGTCAGTCATCATGGCATGATAATATGTACTGAACAAATTAGACAAGCCGAAGTTTTTTTTTATTTTCACACAAACTCCCCTTTTTGTCTTATATATACATTTCTGTTAAGTCCCAGGGCATGGTGTTATGATTACAGATGTTGTAAAAATTATTTTTTCTAGAAAATGTCCACAAGCTCACCATGCCATTCTCCCGGGTGTCTACTCCTGGTACTGGAGCTCACTCTGAGGCGTGTCCATAACAGAAGCAGCTCCCTCTGACCACCAGCTCATAGATGGCATAGTAATATTTCTGCAGGACATCAAAGCGTCGGTCCAGTAGGTCGTCTCCCAGAGTGTTTAGCTTAGTGAAGTTGATACGCAGGTTGGTGATACGCAGGAGTTCTGTAAAGGAGAATAACAGATTCATTAGGTCTGATTTGTGAAAAAAAAAGAAGAAAAACTGAAATTCCATTCATATGCAAACATTTTTTGGATGACTGATGTTAAATGTATATTAGACTCATCGCTCAAAAAGGTAATACAGTCTATTTACTTTAAAAGCAGCTCTTAATTGTGGCTGTTCATTGTTGATTGTTGCTGTTAATACTTCTGGTAAGTAGCATTTTGTTTCAGCTTATCATAAAAAAAACTATGCTGTGTTGCCAGTAACATTGTTAGTGATCTATCTTCAGAGTCTGAAGTGTCCACTGACCTTGAATGTCCAGGCTGTATGGGTCTTTCACATGAATAGCAGGATCCAAAACCTTATAAATGACCTTGAAAACAGACCAGAATTTTGCAGGTATAGAAAGAAAGAAATCCTGTTAGAGTCTGGGACTGAAGAGGATCATAGCGAACTAAAACAACAGCTGTTAACCAAAAACAGGCATACTGTCCAAACTGAACAAATTTGCAAAGGCAGGCCTGAGCTTTAAAGAAACCAGTTATTTAAGCTTCAGTTGATACAGTAATTAAAACAGTATTATGAGCAAATCAGAGTCACATTTCAATTTGCCTTCATGAAAATCAGTTATTTTATATGTTTGTTTAGATATGTGTTTACAACTCTCTGTGCTTTGTGGTGAATTTGCCTCTTCTTTCTGTGAAGAGAGTTATCTTCTTACAATCTCTTCTTTAAAAGTAAAATCCTTGATATTTTCATTAAAGACCTGTTGAGGCCTTTAAATCCAACCTTAAAACTCAACTTGTTCTCATAACTTTCAGTTAGTTGCTTCTTCTGATGACTTTGGGCATTGCACCTGTTACCACCTGTTCTAGTGGGTCAGTCTCTGTCTCAGTGAATCTATTAAGCCTAGTGCTATGCTCCATGTTTGTCCTGCTGGCAAGAGTAGCAGAAACTTTCTAGAAATCACTGCATCTCTCTAATCCTCTGTGTCAAAAACAGCTGTGTGCTTATCTCACTCTCTCTCCTAGTTTCTCCTCTCTGTCCTCTCTCTTCACCCAGGCTTCTCTGTGCTGGACCATCAGCTGCTCTGGGACCTCTCTCTCCTATCTGTGTGAACGGTGTGCTTGAGCTGTGCCTCTTGTGCATTTGTGTACTCTGTCCTCTTCCTGCTCTCCATTGTGGAGAGGAAGTTGTGTGGCTCCGTTCCTAACTGTTTGGCGACACATGAAGTTGCTTGACATCTTCTCAAATCTATATACTTCATCTGTCTATCAATCTATAAATTTGTCATCATAATGGTCCGTACCAGCTGACAGGAGTATGACGTACTGAGCAGAGGATGAAGTCACACTCCCTGTGTGTGTTGTAATCCGAATATGTTAGTATATGATTCCCTGTGTGTTTATTCCACTGACAAACTAAGCGCTGCCGCTCTGCATTCTGCTTAGTCGGTGATTACTGCTGATATCAGGAAAGTGTCGCTGCTCCCTCCCAGGTTAACACTGTCAGCACTGTGACCGTTGTTAATACTGCTCACACTGTTGGTGAAAGCCGTTAGCTGGTAGCTGCTAGCTGCTCCACCTCAATGTTGAGAACCATGTGCAGACAACTTGAATCATAGGTACACTCTGAATGTCACCTTGTGTATCTCTTGCAAGAAATCCCTCCTTGTCACATTTCCTGAGTCAGTTTCTGACGAGGAACCAATGAGCTTGGGTGCCACGGACAGGGTAGGGGAATCACAAAGTATTCAGAGATGACTAGTGCTTTGTTGGTTACTGCTTTATATGGGATTTGTTTGTTAACAACAACAAAATGTTGAATATTACCAGCCTTATGTTTTGACTCTGAAGAAGAAACTCTGTACCTCCCAGTGTAAACTGTCTCTACTATTATCGATGCCACCACCACCTCCTCTACTTCTTACCTCTCCATTGGTGGAGGGTTCGATGTCTGAATAGCGTTCCTCACAGATGATGTCGTTGATGTGGTGCAGGCCGTTGGCATGAATGCCAGGAAAGGTCCTGGTGCAGTTTGAGGCAAAGTAGCGGTAGGGGCGCCATGTGCGGCCGAAATCAGCTGAACGCTCAATGATCATAGCTGCAGGTCTGAAAGTCTGAGGAGCCAAAGAGAGAAATGAGTCCTTTTAACTTCAACTGCAAAGGCTCCTAGTATTTTGGTGTTAGATGTTGATTTTTCTTTATAATATAGAACATGGGAATTATAGTGAGGCTTGTGTTGTATGTATGAATATATAGTCACATCAACAAATGTGTTGTGGACTATATGAAACTGTCAGACTGATCTATCAGGACTTTTTGTCTCATGTTTGCTTTACAAAAAGTAACATAATGGATTCAAGCTTTATGGAATGTCAGGTATGCATGCTGACATGCTTAAGTACGAACAGTATTGCCGCCTTTTCAAACAAAGGTCCACAATCACACACATGCACATAAGTACCCAAATACATCCAATTAACTGTTTGTACCTTGAACTTTATGATGAGATGTGTGAAGTGGAATTCAGCCTCCAGGTTCAGTCTGATGCTGACATTCTCCTGTCCTGTGGAGGAAGCAACTGTCACTCAATGTCATAACAACACAATTGATGTAAAAGTCCCATCTCCTAAAGTCACTCTCTGCTTGACTGGGTGACTGTAGAAGACCTTTATAATCCGTCTTTGAATTTTTTCACCATTTTTCATCTCAACAGCAACATTTTGAAATAGACTTGGAAATACTTTTGTATGTAAAGCCCTGTAAAATGTAGTTCTTCACAATCAGGATTTAACTCTCAACAATGCAACAAGAAGAACAAACTCATACTCCCTCCCATAGTCTCCTACGTGTAGAGGGACAGAGGCAATCAGCACAAGGAACACGCTGAGCATGTTCTTGTGTACTGTTACAGAGTAAATACTCAAGCACACACACCGTTGACAGACTGCCACCAGGTGTTGTTTTCATTTTTGTCCATGAGGTAGATGACATTTTCGATGCGGTGGCTGTTTCTGTGGTGGTACGGGTCGTAGCGATGCTGGGAGTTACACTCAAAACACTTGTCAGACTCCTGTCGAGGCAAAAAACACACATTTAATCCTGGAGAAAGGGCGTACCAGCTGTGTAATAAACCACCTGCGGATGTTGTAAACAACTTAAACAACTTGCAGTGGTTCCTTACAAACACCTACAGAGTGTGCAGGTTGTGTCTTGTACATGTTCTACACTGTCAGTCAAGCCCTTGTGATAGAGCTGTTCCTTCAGATTAGGGCTTTCATCTGTCAAGCTGAAATAATGTGGGTAATGTACCCATGTGTGCCAGTACCAGTGTGGATGGGACAAAAGCCAGCGGGGACTGGATTGTGTCTCCACTGGGTCAAAAGATTAAAAAGGAAGAATGATTGTAGGGAGAGAAGCAAGGAGTAAAAGAAGGGGAGGGAGAGAGGAGAGGCATAAGAGAGGAAGAAAGACGGCGGGAGAGATGGAGACAAGTGAGAGGATATGAATGAAGGGCAAGAAATAAGGGCAAAGCAGCGCACAGCAGGCAGGGTTTCAGACCAAAGCAGTTGTCACTTTCATGGCCAGTGCCCACACTGTGTATGTGGCAAATGTACTTGCACCCATCGGGAGTCTTAAAATGAGCTTTAAGCTAAATGCTAATATGCTCACAGTAAGGCTGTGCAATTAATTGTCTGGTGATCGTGATTATGATTTTGAGGTCAAACGATTTCAAAATTAATGAAATCGAGGGGAAACAATTTTTGGTCACGGACGCCTGGAGATGTTATATTGTCTTCTACGGAAGCCGCGCATGGGCAATACCGCCCCCTCCCCTCCTCTCCTCTATTCACTCCACGAGCCAGTCAAGTAGGTGAACTATGAATAATGCGAGGGGCAGGTGATCGTAGAAGATTTCAAAAACAGTGTGCGGAAAATGGCAGAGGGAGACCGAGAGAGGTTGGTCTGTGTGTGTGTGTGTGTGTGTGTGTGTGTGTGTGTGTGTGCGTGCGCGCACGTCGGGCCCGAACTCCGCCGTGCGCGATACAGAGAGCAGAGAAGAATTGTAAATGCGTGACCATGTAGAGACAAAAATGACATGCCGTCGTGTAAACAATATAAGTCATCACATGCGCTGCATAATCGTTTGCATAATCGTGATTTCAATTTTGATCAAAATAATCGTGATTATGATTTCTTCCATAATCAAGCACACAGTGACAATGTCAACATGCTGATGTTTAGCAGGTATAATGTTCATCATGTTTATCATCTTTGTTTATAGGGTTAGCAAGCTAACATTTACTAATCAGCACTAAACAAAGTAAACAAGGTAATTCCAGAAAAATAAATCCAATATTTGTTGAGATTTTTCACTTAAAACTAAAAGTGTAAACCTTGTGGTGGCACAGGGAAAGTGCTGGGATCCCTGGAGTCAACAGCTTTGCTACTCAGCCAGTCAAATCTGTGCATTCCAATAAGCATTGTCACTTGAGCCGGTGAATGATGTAACACACAGCGAGGAGACGAGATGAGAGACAACAGTAGAAAATAAGATATGTGAGTCAGAGAGAAATGAAAAATCGTCTACTGATCGTCAGTATACTTTCATAATTATAAGAGTGATGCAAGAAGGGTATAGTGAGGCACTGAAATGAATTGAAGGGGAAGATAAAGGACGAATGAAAGGAAAACACAGTTAGCTGGTGAAAAGCTGACATTGACAAGGCAGAGAGCAGAAGGAGAGGAAGAGCTCCAAGGCAGAGAGCAGAAGGAGAGGAAGAGCTCCAAGGCAGAGAGCATGGGAAAAGATACAAGAATGTGGGGACCTAAGCCAAGAGCAAGAGCTTGAATCTTAAGGGGTGTGATAGAAAAGTTAGAAAGGG